TTGGCTTGTAATGGGACTAACCAGTCTTGGGAACTGGGTCAGTATTCTACTATTCACAGGGTGGTGTTTCCTAATTCAGGAATTGATGGAGAGGTTTTGGATAGGTTTTTCATGAAAGTTATCCTGATACGAAACCCACACCACAAGAAAATCCAACCATTAAATCAAAACAGAATGCCCTGACAAAGAGTTTATGGGCTTAACTTGACAGAATGGTTTTTGAAATATGACTTGGTTGTCCCAATGAAGATTTTCACTTAGATCCTTGAAGGAGTCATGTTCAAGCCTTGCAATTTTTGGTTCAGTCTTTTTGAGAAATTGTGTTTTGTAAAACTTTGTGGCTTTTCATTTTTATCGGTCTGATGTCATTTCATCTCTATTACCTGTACAAGATACAAGGGAGGTTGCAATGGTCCATGTTGGTACCAAGTCAGTAGAGTCCTTGGGCATAGGTTGGACTGCAATGCACAGTCACTTACGGTTTCTCAAACAGTTCCACAGAAACCGGTAAACCAGGAACCATCCCAATGGTGGAGGATCAGCACCAGGGCATATGCAGTCAAGACCTGGAGTCAGAAGTCATATATCAAAGAGAGACAAATGGTCATCACCTTTGGCTCCTCTCACTTTGGTTACACTTCAGACCTTAGTATTCACTTGAAGATACTATGCCCACCTCCTCTTTCTTTCCTAGCTTGTGATCCAACTTTTTTGTCCATTAGTAAAGGATGAGATAAACATTAGAAATCAAACAACCAAAACCTTTTCAATAAACCAATTAATGAAAATGATGGTTCTCACTCTTCATCTAAATTGTTATATTAATTGTTTTTTCAGAAAGTTTCTTTGTATTAACTACTAGATGTCAGAACGGCCTAGTAGAAAGAAGATAACAACAAGCAATGAATATTGAGATGGAAATTCAGTTACAAACAAGTTATCACTAGGTGCTCAAATCGATACCTCATACGTTATTGATGTCAACCAAAGTGGCGAAGTGACTTCCAAAATCACCAGCAATCAAAAACACCAAAGAGGTTTGGCCGTATCCAAGAGTTCACCTAATACTGGCAATCAACAATACCAAAGAGATTTGGTTATATCCAAGAATCTTGGTTCATCTAATCCTATTCTGGTAGACTTGGCAAAAGCTAAAGAGGGTAGGAATATGATCGGAAAATCTCAGAATCAAGGAGACATTATTGAGAATAATGAACTAAAGGATTTGGTGATCCTGGAATGTGCAATATGCTCCTTTAGAGGTCTTGCTTGGTTAGCAGAATTGACTTACAACTTATCCCATGGCAATACAGTGTGGATCAATTTGGTGTGGTGTAGTGACTTTGTCCAAATGACAAACACCTCCAACTCCTTTACCTTGTGTGTTTGTGGTGCAAATACTGCTGAAGCGGGCAGTGCGCAGCACATCACAGGCCCCATCTACTAGGCTCTGGAAGGCCAGAGCCTACCACTCACTCCATGAAAGATTCATGGAAGATTCACAAAGATTTCAAAATGACTTCAACATAATATCATATGGGGCCATTTGCCTGTCCGACCACCAAAATTCCAATGTCATCATATGATGTCATAAAACTGTACACACCTGCTCCTGTATTCACAGATCAAGAATATATAGTCTATTAAACTTTATCATGTAAATTGACTGAGTTATTGAGGTTTGAAAAAAAATCACTGATAAAAAATATTATTTTTGTATATCTTCAATCTTTGTCAATATACATATACATGTTAAATTTGATAATATTTTCCGCACTATGTTTCTCCACATTTCTGTTCCCTACAGCCTTTGTCTATGGGTAGTATTTTTATATGTAATTGTGGAATATATACAGAAGTTGGATTTCCTGAAGTTCTTTGACCTTGAGGCAAATTGTGATGAAACACAGGGCCCAAATTAGGCACAAATGGACTGATATGCATGTAAATAATAATTTCCAAAAGTTTCTGCCATCAATTTATTCATATCCTTCCTAGAATCAACAAATCAGGGAAAGATTGGACTGCCCATGTAGAATTCACAATTACATATAGAAATATGCCTTTTGGACAAAGGCCACAAAAACAAAAAATGTAGAAACATGTATTGTACTAGTCTATTTGCAAAAGATATGACCCATTAGTCGGGGCCGGCGCAGTAAATGTGTTGTATCTTTTCCGAATAGACTTGTACAGTGGAATATAAAATTTATTTTATATGTATATTGATAAAGATTTAAGATATCCCAGATCCCAGTCTTATGTATAGTACAAAAATAGTATTTTTTATCCGTGATTTTTTTTTCAAACAATAACTCAGTCAATTTACATGATAAAGTTTAATAGACTACATCTTCTTGATCTGTGAATATAGGAGCAGGTGTGTACAGATTTATGACATCATATGATGACATTGGAATTTTGGTGGTTGGACGGGCAAATGGCCCCATATGATATTACCTAGTTGCTGGGGGCTGTGCATATTGCTCAACCGTCAGCTTGTGTCCAGTAAAGGCAATTTTACAATGGCTTGTCACCACCACAGTTGGTTCAGACTTGTTATTTGGCTATACCTTGCCGGACAGACCACAATGAGACTTGACTCGTTCCATGGTGGCCATACACTGCATCATATTTGGGAGGCTCATGGCTGGCTTGGCATTCCAGAACACTCCTTCCGTGTTTCAGGTGCTGAGAATACCACACAACCATATCATTTATCTAGGTCATTGGACCTTGCAGTGTTACTGCCTTTACCTTTGAGAGTATTCAGCAACTGATCAGGCAGAGACTGCTGAGTTGTTGAACACAGCTAGCATGCGGCAAGTGTGAGGGAGATACATCTCAGGTTAACACAAGAATGGGGCTTTGCATAGGCTCAGGCTTGCACTTAAACCCAAGTTTACAACTTTGACAATATCCTTATAGTTTCAATTTACACTTATGAATTCAACAGTCAGAGATACCATCACTTGATAAGTCAGTCTTGGATCAGGTTTGTGTAAGTTATTGCAACACAATCCATGAATATCTAGTCTTCAATCAGACCCAGGATATATGGATTCAGGCAATGTGAAAAGCCATATAAACACCTCCTGAACTTCCAGCACATCCTCATGTTGACCACAGTGGCCTCATTCATGACTGGTCTATGTGGTGGATGTACCAATGAGCTGAAGGAAGTGTTGAATTTCAACATGAAATCTGACTTTACTTACATCAAGATGTATCAACTTCTTGGGAATCTGAGGTGGAGGAATTCTATCCAATGCAGAAGTCAGCAGTCAATTCAATACAAATTCACCATTGACCACCCCCATGTGTGCCTTACCACTTACAAGGCCCCAATAGAACAACTGTAAAACAAGAAAATAGTCAGCAAGAGAGCAAGGAGTAAACAGATCTCACACCAATCAAACCATCTAGACAATCAATGATGAAGGTCTAATACAAATCCTTCTACCATGAAACTCAAGGAAACTGAGGCTACAAAGAGTTTAAAACATTAAATCTGCAAGTCTGCATCTCTGCCAAAAATGTTTTGCTCAAATCAAGGCATCTGGAGTGATGTGTCTCAATGGTATATGATAGTCAATCCAGGTAAGCTGAATGTCATTGTACTCACTGGGGGACCTACTGTGATATTTTCAAGAAGTCATCAAAATGAGCAAACAAATTTTGTTGAATTATTATTGCCATCAGATCTTAGTATCCAAGCCGATTCATTAGCATATCCTTTTGTTGAGTGAGAATTTGTTCTTGATGATGTTGAATCACAATTCCATTGGCTTCCCAAACAGGATGGACAATATCAAAAATGCAGCTTCATTTATTTTGTAATGGGATTGTGAGCAGAAGTTGGGTACAAAAGGTGTGTAGTAAGGTGATTGCTAGTTATGTGTTTATATTTATCAGTTCAAGATTTACGAAAAACCATGAACACATACATGCATAAACAATCAACAGCATAATATCATAAGCCATAGGCTGGAATATGACTGCATCAGGCTGTGACAGGTATATCATTTCTAGTCTTTGAAACACAGTATCTAGTCTCAAGACTTCCAATAGATGCAGTCACCATGTCGGTATCCTTGTAGCATGTCGACGTGCACACACGGAGAGTTTTAAAAAAAACAGAAAGGTGTTTGGTAGGCTTTAGACTGAGATTGGTGCCAAGCACCCTTTGTGAATGATAATTTGACAAAAGAATTTGTGGGATCCTTTGTCAGCAGTTGAGGTCAACTGAGTGCCAACGTCCCAGTTGACAAAGGGAAGACATGCCTATTGTGGAGACCTCTTTAATGGCTCTTTCAAGTATGTATCAAAAGTATTTGGTGTGTGCACGTCGACGTGCTACACGGATACGGACACGGTGAGTATGTTTTTGAGTTTGCCTGTGTTTCTCACAACAAAACATCTTATCTGAACTAAGCCACATGATCTAGCATTTTTATCAGGTAGTAAATAAAATCTCCTTTTCTGATTTATGACCCACAATTCTTCCAAGCTCCTGTAGGATGAATTCGGAATCATATCTCCCCATCTCAACTTATTAAATTCTGGTGGGGGAGGATAGCAGCTCCTCAAGTGTCCATCCAACATTAGATCGTGCAATTGTTGACTCCTCCATGAACCAGGATTGAATTGATGACTCTTAATTGTTGGCTAGTACTGAGAAAGACCAAAAAGATCTCAGATATGTGTAAAAAAGGTTGTCTGGCAAGGTTTCTGAGGCACAGGATTCTCTTATATCTGGTACTTCTTGCCACTCAGCGTTGGATGGCAACGACACACACATTATCCTTTGAACAGACGGTGGCAAATACCATTATACAGTTAAAGAAAAGCAATCCTACAAAAATCAATGTAGCTGCAGCCAAGGAAAAAGGGATTCAAAAGGATCCATTGAACAGTTGTTTCTTTCTGGATCAAATGAATCCGCCGGCTCTCCTATTGCTGCTACCACAGATCTTTCAAATTACACAAACCTGACCCCTATGTCTGAAGGCTATGAGTTCCACGGATGTGATTTGGCTCCGGGAAACATTAACTCAAACTCTATTTACAGTCAAGCTGATCAGTCTCAGGGAACAATGGATGACTCAATGTCCATTGACTTTCAAATCTCTCCATCTTTGACTCAGCGGGAGTCAAATCCAATTTTCAGTCAATCTGAGTCATCTGCTCAGAAATCAACTGTGTCACCTCAGACTCAGACGCCAACTGATACATCAATGGCCCCAGTCAATCCGTTCAAGTCCAAGGACAAGAGAAAGATTTTGAGGGGCTTGATGCCCAGGAAAAAGACCAGTAAAGCTGTTGTGATCCCAAATAATCAGGAAGCTGATCAGCAACTTATTCCACCCCCAATTACTTATCAGAGAAATGACAAAATGACTTCTAGAGGAGGTATTGAAGAAAAGGAACCCTGCATCAAACAATGATATAGCCACAAGGTGAAGAAATAATGTATTGAATGTTAGAGCCCTGGTTAATGGTGGCAGCATATGATCAAATGTTTCAAAAATTCTTTTAATCATTTACAAGAAGGGTTTAATTGATGGGGGAGGTTTTCAAGCTATTTAGCCTTTGTGAACCATGGTCATGTGATTCGCATAAGTTGTTAAAGATGTTTGCAGGATCTGTTTGATAAGCAAGGTCAAACTGAATTATTTACTCAACCCCCGCCAAGGTCATAGAGTATAGATAATCCTTTGTCGTGTTGAAAACAGATGGTCTGTTGGGATATTTGACCACAGAATCTTAATCTTGCTTCTGTATGCTTTTTCTTCACTATTCCTGTGTACTAGCTGCTACATTCTCTACTAAGGTCGGAAATTGAACAACAATGAGTGGACCAGATCAACTGTACATACATTTTATGTGGGTGTGCTGTGTATCCTAGTAACAGAATTCCACATGCAGTGGTAGAAGACACAACAAATGTAAGGCTTGGTTTACCAAAATACTGGGCTGTAATTACGTAGTTGCCACAGATCATAGTGATGAAATGTGGCTTAGCTTTTAGCATGAAGCTTTAAGATCTCATTTGCCTCACCCAAATTGGGGTTCATTGAGGCTCAACTCGGGAGGTCTCTTTCCTCTGTCCAAGTCAGGTTAATAACTTTCCAATCAGGATACTAGGGCAAGAAACTTTATACACAGTGACCATCCACCCCGATAATCCATCTCCATTGTGAAACCCAAAACATTTGTTCCTTTTGCAAGTAAAAAACAAGATGGTGGACAGGTTTTGAAAAACTAACTATCCAAAGAAGTGAATTATGGTATTCAAACCTCGAAATTAATTTGTGCAGGTTTGGTGCAAGTTCTGTGCAAGATATGAATAGAACTTGCACGGATCTTGCACAAAACTTGCAAGAGTCAGTCTTGCACAGTTTTTGCACGGTTTGGAACACAATAACTTGGGTTGTCAAAAAAATTAATGTGCAAGATTAGTGCAAAAAATCTTGCACAGATCAGCACATTGGTCTTGCGCAGTTCTTCCACAGGTTTGAACACCCTAAATACACAAAGAACTAAACAATGAGTGTAATACCCTACTCTTGTGATAAAGATTCAGAAAAGTATTTCATGAAACTCCAACACCACAGATTAGGATCCAAGGTTAAGTACTGATACAAGAGCCTCCACATGATCATTATGGGCTTGATGATGATTACAATGCACATTGCTGAAATTTTCTATCTTGAATCCAATATCAATATGGCTGTGAGCTGGAGTGGCATCTATGAGCTGCTGGATAGTGATCTAATGGGCTCTGGTATGTTGATATGTGTGGGTGGTGTCAGCCTGCATACTTTCAACTCCAACTTGTGGACTGTGGATCATGCCCGTGACTACACCAATTTTCTCTGTATGATATTCCATAACAGGTTACATGAGCTTGACATCCTGGGCTGAAATATCAAGGTGAGCAAGCTGAAAAGCCTTGATACTGTCAAAGTGGACCATGACCAAATACTTTCCTACTTTCCTAACTGTATCCTGCACACCCACATGATTGTTTAATCCAAAGCACACAGTGTAGTCTTGATACCAGCACTTCTTCTTCCAACATCTCAAATGTATGAAAGAGAATGGAAACTTCTTCCTAGACCCGCAAAACCAAAAATCATACAATGTAAATGGATTTCAAGAACAAAACACAACATTGATATGTCTATTGATAAATCAACAGCTTGATTAGTGGTTTCAGGTGTTCTTCAAATCCTAGGCATACATTTTTCTGAAGTTTTTTCCCCAACAAGTCATGAAGAGTCAGTGAGATTATTTTCATCAATAATGGCTAAAAATGGTTGGAAAGATGTTTCACTTGACAAAGAAAACAGTGTTTGTTAACGGTGATCTGAATGAAGATATCCACACCACGGGGCAACTTTTGGCGTATCACATGTGAACAATCAAAATCGAGGAACAGCTGGTGGTGATGTCAGGATCAGATGAAGGTCATGTGATTGAGCACACATAGTCCAACGATTGTTGATGATGTGTCCGCAACTTCAGGTCACATTTGGCTCACGTAGGACACAAAGTATTTGGCATGTGAGCTGAGTAAGGTGATGGTCACATGCTGGCTTATGCGTTTTTCACCCAATCTATACTGGATGAAGAGCACATTCACAACATGTGCCAAGCACATTGGCCAAAATGTGAGCAACTAGTCAACTTCAAAGCTGTGAAGCTCACAGATCTGCTGATTTATGAGCAACAGGTGACCTCACAGGTGAAAAGCTCACATAGCGGCCAATGTGCTCATGATGTACTCTGAGTTTGGATGATTGTAACCTTAACATCAGGTGGTCAGCACGTTGGATTAACTGGAAAAACACAATTTCACTCTGGCAATGATAAGTGAAATCTGGTATGCTGAACGCATGGACCTTGCTACACCAGTGCTGGGTGAAGCGGGAGGTTGATGATTTCATTTAAATCATTCATTTGAAAGTGATTGATTCACGTGATTCAAACTGTTCATTGTTTGAATCATTTGGTTTCTTGAGGGCAATATTTTGGAGAGCTGAAGGCCACTTCTTTGATTTTCTCTCTCTCTTTACCTCAATCTGACATCAGGCAAGCTGAACAATACAACATATTTTTTATCCCAGAAAAAAGATATTGTTTTTTGATTTGGTTGGTCAAGGCTAAAACTCAATTCTTGAATTTGAATTTGTGTATATTTTCCCTCCATCATACTTGAATCTTTCTTAGGGCCTGTTCGGTAGCGTTTATTTATACTACAGTATCAAGAATCATAATGTAGTATGCCTGTTGATACTACATTATTTGAAACAGAGCTTTGATACTACATATTGTCCTTGAAATCTCATGTACTATCCAAATCCTGTTTGACCAAAATCCGTCCATATATACAACACACAATGTCAGATATCGACTCACCTTCAGACGCAATGGAGGATGATCAAGTACATTTTGATTATTTCAATGTGTAGTTTTGGATGTGGTATTGGATTGCATGATACATTATGATACCACAGGCCAAAACAGGACAAACATGGTATTTGCATTCTACATTTTTTTTTTTCAATACTACATTTTTCGGTGGTAAAATAAACGCTACCAAACGGGCCCTTAATTTTGACTCATGACTGTGGAATACTGACTGGTAGTGCTTTGTTACTCCCCATCAGCAGTTTCTTGTTTGAAAATTCATTGCCACGGGCAGGGTCTTCAAATTTGCGTAAGCCGCTCATAACCTTTGAACTATCAGCGCACTGTATTGAATCTATGATCAACAAATAGATATTTTCCCAGTAGGGAGAGGTAAACTTTGTTTTGGTCTGTGTGGCAGTCAAACATTCAAATCTATCAGACATCATTTATCAACACCTACTCATCAGATGTATGCGGCTCACTATGCACAACCGCCACCTACACCGTTGGATCTACCTCCACTAGCTCCCCTGGCACTGGATACTACAGATCCTGTAGAACCTCAAGTTGATAACAAGATCAGCAATCCAAGTGACCGCTCTGATGTTGAGGAAGACCCTTACAGCCTTGAAAAATTGTCCAAATCACTATTCAATTCTTCATGTGGTAGTGAATTATTCCAGTAGTCCAACTCTGGGATGACTGAATACTAAACATCATGTTCTTTGAAAAAGAATTCACACTTGAATAATCCAACCAAAGTTCTCTATCCCAAAGTTCTTTCAGATTGGCATAACAGACCCCAGAATCCAATTGAATAACCCAAGTCCAGGATCAATCACCGCAAGGTATAAGGAAGCTGGTAGCTTAGGGTAAGGTCAAGCATGTCATGAAATTGAATGTTTCACTTTCTCTATGCCGCTTGGACTTGTTTCCATAAGGATTTATACCAACAGGGAACGCAAATGTCATGTTTCCTGACTTTGATGTAGATCAAACACTGTCTAGTCCACATAAGGTTTTCTTTGAAGGTTTTCTTTTAAAAGGTTTTTGTGATTCTGAAAGTGACATGCCAACTTCTTCTTTCATACAAGGCTGTGCAATGAGACAAGCAATCCAAGTGATCAAGTCTTGAACAGCATACTTTTGGATCAAGAGGCCATTTGGTTGGAAGAGAAGTGTCAAACACATTTTGGGGCTGTCTTTTGATTGGACTGTGCTTAGAAAGCATTACAAGTTGTGTATTAGGGCGGTTCCAGTTTGAAAACGCACTAAAACAGAACTGTGCCTACAGCAAGATGCTGCTTATAATTGTTGAAAGTTTTGTATGTGCAATTGAAAGTTGGAATTCTAGAATTTTACAGCACATGGAGGCCAAGAGACTTATAATTTTGAAGGATTTTGGTTTAGCTTTGTAGCAGGGCCGAAGGCCCTGATTCAGCTACAATACCACAATAGGCGTTATACTGACTACCGTAGTACCAAGCCATTATGTAATAAGACTAGTCTAATCCAAATACATATCATTCTTAACTAGTCCCCTTGGAACATTCCATTAACAACCAGGCACAAGCCATTATCTTGTACCTAGTTCTATGACAAGGCACTACAAGCCATTTGTGTGTTACCACCTTGTATAAGAAATACGAATTCATACCTACTCGAATAGAGGAGCACTTTATCTTTTATCAACAATCTGACAAATTACTTGTTTGTTACTCTTTCTATAACTCGCTCATTAAAAAGATCTTTTATTGACAATTATATTCATTTAAACCTTTCTGTCATAACTATTCCATTGCCTCTTAGAGCCCTTTCACTCTACTCGTTAAAATCCAATTGAAACTCTTGAAAGCATTCACTAAGCTCAAGACTAACACCTTTTGCTAGTGCCCCTTTGATTCAATTCGATTACAACGACCGTAGCCCAAGATCTGTGATCTTATCTTTTCTATCTTCTGCTCACCTAAGATCTTAGCTAGTTAGCTTGATCTTATACCCTTCACGTGGGTAATCTCCACCCCGTTACAACTTGAACTGCCCTATTGGAGTGGCTGAGTTCTGGAGTGAAGTGTGAAGATGTTATACATATGGAGTTATATATGGTTTTTTTGCGCTAGTTGAAGCCGGGATGTGATTGTCCCCCTCCAGCCTATGAGTGATGAAATTGCCTATGGGGTTAAAGGGAGATGTAACAGTGCTCCAACATGATCATAATAGAGTCAGATAAAGAGGATGGGACTTGCTTGCATCACATTTAGTGATATCATCATTAATCCATCTCAGTACTAATACAGGCCCTAGCTACTGGGTTGGAGCAATTTGCTCAGGAGCTGCCAGGTTGGTGAGCAAGATTACAGTTCCTGTCTAGCGGCCACATATCATTGTCATTGAAATCTCTAAAGTAGTCTGAATCTTCAGCATCATCAAGAATGTTTTTGGCGGCTTCAAAGACTTCCAACTTCTGATCATTTAATTGATGAGGAGCATAAGTATTGTGTGTTACTTGTAGGACTTGGTGTTTCATGCCATTATCAAAATGTGTCATTTTGCTGCATCTTGTGCCAATACATGGATACGTCTGCATAATGTTGCTTGACGAAATGGGGATAGACTAGATGTTGATCTGAATGTGCTAGGCTGTGGTGAGTGACAGAGAAGGTAAGAGCAATCTTGAGGGCCAGAAATGAAAAACATCCAAAATAGATGTTACAATAAGAGAGGGGAAAAAGAAAAAGAACTGCGGCTTGGCAACCTCCAGATTTTTGAAATATGAGGAAATCAAACATAGCAAAAAGTGATTTCATTGGTCTGCATTTGATTTGCCTGGTCAAACTCTCTGGGGGACTAGAATTGATTACTGTGATTTCCAATTAGATTTGTGAAGATGCTAAGAATAGACCACAAGAAGAAAGAACACTCAAGAATTCAGACAATTATATTACAAAGAACATCATTTTGGACAGCAGGAGTATTTTGGCTATCATCTCCCAGACTGGCCAAAGGATTGATTTATTGTTCATCTTGAATTCAGACCGTTCTTGATGTGAAGCACAGGATTTGCCTTTTCTCTTTCTTATCAGTACTGGCAAAGAGACTGGCTCTCTCTTTGCCTTGTCTCCTGAATCTGGCAATACTGTTGAACCAGTAGTCGCTCTTGTAAGTGTAGGGGAAGTTGGTAATGTAAGTTGGATGTTGCATGGAGATCTGAGGTATCTTCACTTGTTTGCTGACCGGAGGGAAGAGAACTGTGTGTTTTATCTGCCTGTGTTGGTGAAATGAGCTGAAACCTTTTGCTTTGCGTCCTTGTTCTGAAAGTATGACCTTTGTTGCCAAGGATTTGGTATTCAAAGGTGATTTGGGGATAAAGATCACTGGATCTCAAGGAGGTAGTGTACGTAATACTGCTGAAGAAGGAGATGACACACAAACAGAATTCATCAATAAAAACGTAAATTGAATCCAGTTTGATGTGATGTTTTTTCACAAATTTCTGGGGAAACAAGCAAATGTGATCTAAGTATATTGGGTTTCATGAGGGATGACTAGCAGTGTACGTTCATAGTCTCCTCAGGACCACTCAGACAAGGGGTGCGTTTTCACATGAACTTTGCGCTCAAAGGCTTATAGGATTCGAGAGGGGTTGAGCAAAATCTAAGTTTGCTTTAGACTCAAATTTCAATGTGCATCAGGACACAAACCAAATCCCAAAATTCCCTTCGTATTGTTCAATCTAGCAAACTAAATGAGTAAAATCCTCTGATGGGAGTTTGATAGCATCATAAATTAGTCTTTAAACAGTTAGGATGTTGGGAGAAAACTTCACACGATGATATTCCCGTTCAAGCAAGAAAATTGAGTATCTGGGGGAAGTCAAACAATCTTTATGCCCGCTATCTCGAGACAACAAATGAAATTCTAGGGGAGATTGTGGTTTAGCTTTCAGCATGCAGGATAAAACAAATCAAGATACAAAATTTGATGCCAAAGTACCCCTAATGAAATGAAGGTGTGTGTGTGAGAACATTGTGGTATGGCTCTGTCCAAATCTACCACCATGTCTATATTTGTGTAGCATTGCAAATTCCCCTCAAGGAGAGGTGTGAGCAAACATTATTTGCAGTTTGATGTTGTTCTGATTGGTGAATCCCGTACAAGGTTAAACACCCCTTTGAGGGAGAAAACCAGCACAAAGAGGTTGCTTGATTGGCAATTTGATCTTGCAAGAAAGGATCAACACCCCCTTACTCCACTTTTAAGGGTCACTTGAGGACCCCGGTATGCTCCTATGAGGGGTACTGATGTCAAAAGATGACTTTTGAGCTCCTGCGTAATTACGCTTCATGGGATTATGCACTATTTTTTAAAATTGACGGTTTCTGCCCATTCCAGAGCTGCTTAAAGGTACAATACAGCTGATTTGAAAGATGAATCTTGTCTCAAAGTATGGGTAAAGAAAGGGGCTTATCTCTGCGGGAGCTCAAAAGTCATCTTTTTACATCAGTACCCCTCATAGGAGCATGCCGGGGTCCTGTCACTTGACCCTTGAGTTTTTCTCAAGGTATTGTAAGTTTGCATTTGAGCTTTCTGAGTCAAATTGACTTGCTCACATGCAACACTTGAATAAGGAGGCCGTTACATTTCAACACAGTCACTATCGTACTGACTCCATCCCAATTGATCCCTTGGAATTCACTACATTTCAAACAAGTCACTGATGGTTTGTCCAAGGTATTATGACATCTGAATCTGTGTTTTGGATAATCCTGTGATTTGTTCTTGAACAAAACATCATGTTGGAATTCATCCCTGATCTCTTGATCACATTGAGCTCATAATAAAGGTTGTTATTTTGGACCCTTTGTACTCACAACGTGTTAGGAAGAAATCAAGATGTAACATGTGATAAGAGGACTGATTGGACTTTCAAGCATGTGGTTAGGAAAGAATCAACAAGTTTCATGACTCTATTCATCGCAATCCTTTCCTGAGACATTCCAAATATCCCCATCTCAAAGTTTCCTTTGAATCTGCACAGGGAAATTCAATAGCCAAATTACAATGTCAAGACTTTGATATGCAAACTACCTACACAGAAGTAATGGACGGTTTCGTCCAAGCAGAGAGAAAACAATAAGAGTGGTCAACTTCATCGTTTGATTTTGTATTAACAATTATTTAACATATGCTTCAAAACCTTGTTCAACAGCTTATTTGAGCAGAATGAAAAAATACAAGACAAACAAATTTGATGTTATCAATGCAGAAGAAGGTGTGTCCAAGGGGAAGAGATTACCACAATTTGTATAATCAAACACAGTAATGCAGGGAATCTGCTTCTACCATAAGCAAGTATTGGTATTGCAAAAGATTGAAAAAATGTGCATGTGTTTGCCTAAACATGTTTGCCTAAACAATGCTCATGACTAATGTCATCTCTGTGGTGAGGCACTAACATACTGGCTCCAAACAGATGGGCTAAGGGTAAGTAGACCAGTTCCCACGACAGTACCAATCTGGATTGCACAACAACCTCATGAGTTTTCCTGATGCCTCCTTGGATATCCCTGTTGTTGATCCCTTGGTAGACGCAAGCTATATTGCAAACATAGTTAGCTTTGAAATATTTTAGAGCTCTTTCACATCATTTGACTCACATGTTTCAGTCACAAGTAGACATCCTAATGATAATTTTTTTATATGATTTGGTGATGAAAATCATGGAGGGTTCGACATTTTGATTGAAGTTGATCTTTCTAGTTGAGTTAAATGATACTCCATTCATTTTGAGTAGCTTTGATGATCACCTGATTGGCTGAATTGGAATTTATAAGTATGAATGTCCTATGGTTGGTGGTCAATCTGAGTGGATATCATTGTTAGACTAAAACTGTGAGTTGATTGAGAGTTAATGGTGAATCACTTCTCTTGATTGCTGATTGGGTTGAAGCTGAAAATCCAAATGAACTTGAGGTGTATCAAACTTTTGAGGAAATCACCCAAAATTAAAATTTCTCATCCATTGTGCTCCGCATTTAGGGGATCAACCTGGTACAGCCATTGTAACATACATTAGCAGAATTTTGAGAAAATGTGTTATCGGCAGATTTATGTCTGAAAGTCAAAAACTCAAAATTTTTGGACTTTGATACCAAACTGTGTTGTCCTTCTCCTAGATTGGACAGATAGTTTGATCTGCCGCTGATAATCATACCTCTTCACCATTTCTAGACTCTTTCACTTCCGGCTATGTCTCTCAATGCAATGGCCGGAAACAGCTTCATCCAATACTGACATCAATGACATCATATGATGAGAGATTTGCATTCCCCCTCCTTCCCATCACCATATATCCCATCTCCCTCCTTGATAGAATTGCCACCATCTTCCGTACATATTTCAACCAAATCAATCTCAATTTCAATTCTTATATTATCACACACAACTATTTTCACAAGCCATATATCATCACTTTTATCAATAATTCTGTTTTGTCCTTGGTTTTACCCAGGACAACTTAATCAATTTACGTCTTCTGTTCAATGTTTGTCACGTTCTTTGCCTTTCATATACTTTCAGTATGGATATTTCTTTTCAAGGCGCCAGCCACGGCCTCCTTGACTGGTCGCATGAATGATTGTGAGTATTGCTTTATGGACTTCCTTTTTTGACATCTTCAAAGGATTCATCTTTCTAACTCAGTGTTTCACTTGCCAGACCAACTGGTGAGCACCAATTGATGCACACCCTGCATCCAACAGAATCCCTTGTGGTGTATTGGAACTCCAGCTTGTTGTTGCAATCAACTAGAGCGCACAGAAGAGGTTTCAGAAAGGGTGAAGAGAAACCCTCTCTGTGTGTGGCTCTAGGGTGCTTATATACACAATGTCTTATGTAATATCAATATAACAGTTTACGTGAAAGATTAAACAAGTAGTCGGATGATTTGTAAGTAAGATGGACAGCGCTGGAGTTCACAAACCCAATCTGGGTGGTTAGGGTCTTCATATCCCTGTGGCTGTGACATCAGGATAGGATCGTCAAGTAAAGAGTTGAGAAAAGCGGACTTGATATCCACTTGACGTCCCTTCCATTTCTTTGGTGCCAGAAGGGAGAAGACAAGTCGTAGCGTTTCCAGACGGGTTGTCGGAGAGAACACCTCCGAGTAATCCACACCCTGCACTTGAGAGTATCCCATAGCAACCAGTCGTGCTTTCAGCTTATCAAGTGATCCATCGATGTTACGCTTGATTTTGAACACCCATTTCGACTTAATGATGTTACGTTTCGCCGGACGAGGAATAAGTCTCCAAGTTTGCATACCGATGAGTGTCGCAAATTCAGTATTGGCTGCCTTGAGCCATTTCGCTTTGTTAGGCAATCGGAGTAGCTGTTTCCAGGTGCGAGGAGTATCCAGAGAAGCATCCTCCTCGGTGGCAGGACTAGCCCAGTTGCCAAGGCGATCAGGTGCCTTGGAGGTTCGAGTAGAACAACGGGACGGGACAGTAGGTGGTACACGAGAAGCAGTTGGTTTGGGACACGGACGATTAGGTGGCTGAGGAGGTGGTGTAGGTGATCTAGGAGCAGGAGCAGGTGATTCAAGAGGTGGTGTAGTCGGTGTTGGAACAGGATTAGACAGTTGAGGAGTTGGAACCGGATATTCCAAATGAGACGGGAGGGGAAAACTTGCAGTAGGTGGGAGATTCATACGTGTAGGGACTGATTCAGGAGACAAAGGTGGAGTGGGATCTTTGATAATGATCGGGGATGAAGGTGAAGAAATAGGACTTACAGAGATGGGTTCTATGTTTGGAAAAGAAGTTGTTGGAGACAGTGGGGAAGTAGGAGCAGGAGTAGCGATTGGTCGTCTACGAGGAGCATGGATAGAGTTAGAGAGACGTTGTTCACGAAGTGCACGTCTTTGACCCTCGGTTAGATGAGGAAGGATGGTAGGAGTAGCATCCATTGGCCATGGGATATCCGCTTCTATCACAGGAGCAGGAGAGCTACAAAGAGTAGAGGAGTATGGAAATACATCATGACAAAACAGAACATCGCGGGACTTAACCACCTTTCTGTGACGAAGATCCCAGAGTCTATACCCGTTTCCATCTGGAAGGTACGATAAAATGATGGATGCTTGAGCTTTTGGATCGAGTTTTTGTCTGTTAGCTTCAGGTATCTTGTAGTACGCCTGACAACCAAACGGGAATAGATTAGGTAGAGATACATCAGATAGATTCAGGATCGAGTTAGGTGATCGGAAACCAGCTGGTGTATAGCATGGAATGGAGTTTAAAGTGTGTGACAGATATCTGAGAGCATCAGTTCAAAACAATTTTGGTAGCTTGGCACTGATCAGCGAGCATCTTATGTGATTACCAATAGTTCAATTGGAACGTTCGGAGACACCATTGAGCTGAGGAGAGTGTGGTGGACCAGGATTGTGAGATATTCCGTGTTCCGCAAGGTATGTTTCCATTTCCTTACTAAGGTATTCACCTCCATTATCAGTTCTCAGGGCTTTCACATTGAACAAAGATAGATTATGAAATGCAGAACAAAAAGATTTAAATGAGACAAAAACTTCTGGTTTCATTTTAAGAGGATAGATTGTAGTGTGTTTAGAGTAATCATCAATAAAGGTAACAGAGTATTTGAATCCCTCCCTAGAGACGACTTCACAGCTAGCTACATCAGAATGAACAAGATCACTGGGTTTGGAGGATTGGTAGGGACTTCTGGAATGAAAGGACATGCACGACATTTTGCTTTTAACACAGATGACACATTGTTGAACTTCAATTTCATTCATTATGGAGGGGATGATATTATGAGACTTAAGAAGAGTTCTCAAAGGTCAAATTCCGATGTGACCTAAACGAACATGCCAGTCGGACAGACTCATGTCAGCTTTACTGGCAAAGCAGGATGTAGATGATGGGTTATCGACCTTTGCGGGAAGATAATACAGATTACCACGTCTAACACCATTTCCGACAGGCTTAGAGTTGGCCAAGTCATCAGTCAAATGGTAAATTTTGCATCCTTCACTGGTAAATACAACAGAAAAACCATCATCACACAAGGCTGATACCGAAAGGAGTGGTTCCTGTAAGTCTGGAACAAGCAAAGATTTGTGACTGTTGAGTCCAGAGATAGATAGCAACACAGTTCCTGTGTGACTAGCATGGATGACCGAGTTGTCCGCGAGGTGAATTGCACGAGTAGACGGTAAAAGATCAGTGAGTGACGAGGTGTGAGGAGTCATGGTCAATGAACAACCGGAATCGATGTTCCATTTGCGTACTCTAGTAGCATTTACGGATTCAGTCGAAGCGAATTTGACTTGGGTTCTGTCATCACCATTGTCGGAGTGGTCATCTGAGTCACTGAAATCAAGAGGTACTACACTTGTCTTCCCTGCGCGTGAAGGGTGATTACAAGATCGGTTTGACGGAGTTTTATGTTTTGATCCACTCGTAGAAGATTTTCTTTCAGCTTTAACTTTGTCCAGAGCCCAGCAGTGTTTTACATTGTGATTGGCTCGGTGACAGTATGAGCAGAGTTTAGTGTTTCGAGGACGTCAATCAGAGCTGGAGGAAGACGGATTGAATGCTTTCGAGGCGGATGAGAAGGTCTTAGCAGCAGACACAGACGGATGGTTACCAGAAGCCTTACAACGGATCTGTTCATTCTTGATGGCACAAACTACTGAAGCAGAATCCATGTTCTTTTGTTGCATTAACGGTGTTACCACATGAGCCCAATCATCGGGAAGAGAATTGATGAGGGATGTTGAGAAGATGTCGTCCGCCGTAAGAGGGTTTTCAGCCGTGATGAGAGATGATAGCTTCTCGAACTGACGATTCATTGACTGAAGATGAGTGTCGAGGTCAGTTTCACCCATTTTTGAGGTGATCAGAGCGTTAAGAATACGCATTCGACCTCCAGAGGTTGAATCCTCATGTGCAAGACGTAGCGCCTTCTACATAGCAGCAGCATTGTGAAGATGAGGTTGAATATATTGATAGTTTGCATCTTCAACAGCACGAGTGATAAGAGAACAGACACGAGTATTGTCATCATCAAAGGTGGCGGATTTGGAATCTCCTTCAACTTCTGAGATGACGTGACTAAGCTTTGCATCAAGAAGGTATAGCTCTACTGCGAATTTCCAATCTAGATAATTAGAATCTTGACCAGGGCTTGAGAGCAGTAATCCCGGACATTCGGTTTGCGTTACGATCATCACCGCTTTTCGAAGACTCCATGTTTAATGGGTAGATATTGGGAGAGGACTTAGTAGCGTAGGATGTAGGGGGATATGGCGCTATAGATGTTGTAGGAGGATATACTACAGAGGTATACAGTAGAGGGAAATCCAGCGTGAGGGAGACGACGCTATGGTGATGAGATGAGATGTACGAGGAGAGAAGAGACGATGGTGAAAGAAAAATATACGAGGAGTATGTTGAGATATAGAAGATTTGTAAAATACAATGGTATACTGGTAAGTATCCACGGACCCTGGGAATGTGGCGCAAGATTGGTTTTACGAGATGAAGTAAGATTTTAGCAGTTGGTAGAGATGGGTCTCATAACCTGTTGCAATCAACTGGAGCGCACAGAAGAGGTTTCAGAAAGGGTGAAGAGAAACCCTTTCTGTGTGTGGCTCTAGGGTGCTTATCTACACAATGTCTTATGTAATATCAATATAACGGTTTACATGAAAGATTAAACAAGTAGTCAGATGATTTGTAAGTAAGATGGACTAGCTTGTTGTCGAGGTGAATGACATATGAATTGTAGGAAACTGTTTTATGTGATAGACTTGATGTGAGAGATGACTTATAGGAGACTAGATCATGTGAAGATAAAGATGACAAGCACATAAACAGATAGACGTTCACAGTAATACAGTACAGATGATTAAGGTGTGATTAAGTATTCCAACACTTGTGAAGCTTTTGATTGGCATAATCCGGTGACAATTGAGGTCAGATTCACGATTTATACCAATCAGGAAGTCAAAATTGATTCTCCAAATCAGAGCACCCTCAAAGCTGGGGCCAGTAAGAAGGCCGCGAAGTCAGCCAAACTGAATTCAATTGATTTCAAAGCGATCAACAGCTACCTAGAGTTGAAATCTTGTGTATTTGGCAAGAGTCTGAACAAATTCAAGGATCTGGTAGCTAGAGTCTGTGACACTTATGAGGCTGGTATGAAAAGGTTGACTCTCCATAGTGATTTCTCTCCCAATTTAAAGTGGAAGACTGCCATTGGGCCCTCAAAGTCAACTCTCAAAGATTTTGATCATTGGCAAACTTTGGTCAAAACTCTTGCAAAATTGATCAAAAAGAAGAGTGTAGTTTCAATCAAGAATGAGAACGTGAAATCTAAAGAGGGTAAGAAGGTGAGTCTTGTTTGGTATCTCATCTTGATCCATCTTTGCCTCTCACTAATTGACTCTGATGTTTGATTTTCCAGGAATCAGCCACTAAGAAGCTCATTGCCACCACTCACAGAGGTAAGGCAGTACCTCAAGGATCTGAGGTGAGAGTCATGTGACACATGATCATTGACTTTGTTTCAATCCGTTTTATGTTCACAGGAATCAAAGAAAGAAACCAAGTTAAAAGCCCTGGCATGCAAGATATTTAGCCAAGATGCTGCTGGAGGCTATGCCAGGGGAGCTGAGACTCTTTCAACAACTCCTTGGGATCCTACCTTCCATTATTGTTTGACTTATGCTGCACCCTGGATCTGGGCTACAGGGGTGGTAAGTGCTAGATACATACACGTTAATCCTATTAAATTGTGTAGAGTAATCCACTGACAACACTTTTTCCTCATGTAGATGGCCATTCTCGCGACTGTCTGTATACCTCCCAATACTGTCGAGTTCCGGCAGTGAATCAAGCAAGCGTG